TTTCGCTCGAAACAACACAATGTGCTCGAGAGTAGATTTCAACTTCACGACGGATGATATCTAACTCGAAGCCAAACTTCACAACAAAGGGGTCTCCACGGTTTCAACTTCACGGCGAAGGGAATCGTGTCCCCCAACATACAATACTTGGATTTCAACTTCACGACGAAGGATATTCAAGTCAAGGCTCAACTTCACGACGAAGGGGCCATCCGCGATTTCAACTCCACGACGGAGGATATCATGCCACTCGAGACAGCTCAAGTTCAACTTCACAACGAAGGGGCCGCTGACTGTCAACAAACAATTTCGCAATCCAATTTCAACTTCACAGCGAAGGATATTGGAACTCAAGACAACACAAGTTCAACTTCACAACGAAGGGGCCGCTGGTTGTTAACAAAAATTTCCCAGTATCAGACAACACAAGTTCAACTTCACAACGAAGGGGCCGCTGGTTGTCAACAAAATTTCCCAGTTTAAGACAGCACAAGTTCAACTTCACAACGAAGGGGCCGCTGGCTGTCAATAAACAACTTCCCAATTTCAGAGCCAATTTCAACTTCACAGCGAAGGATATTGGACTCAAGACAACACAAGTTCAACTTCACAACGAAGGGGCCGCTGATTGTCAACAAAAATTCCCCAGTTTAAGACAGCACAAGTTCAACTTCACAACGAAGGGGCCGCTGGCTGTCAACAAACAACTTCCCAGTTTCATAGTCAATTTCAACTTCACAGCGAAGGATATTGGCCTCGAAACAACGCAACTTGCATTGGATTTCAACCTCACGGGGGATATCCCAATTCTCAGGCTCAACTTCACGACGAAGGAGCCATATACAATTCCAACTTCACAAACAGATTGACCCAACTTCGCGACGAAGGAGTCATCTGTAACACCACAACACCACAGTCTTCAGATCAAGGGCCACCCACGGTTTCAACTTCACAACGAAAGGGAATCGTGCTCACAAGCAGTATCCATCTCTAGATTGGATTTCAACTTCACAACGAAGGATATCCAACTCAAGGAAGGAGTGGCTGTCAATTGACAAACCAGTTTCAATATCGGATTTCAACTCTACGACGGAGGATATTCTATATGGACAAAATCTGTGTCTTTTAATCTTTGCTCTATTGTCGTTGCACGATAATGAGCAAAGAGGGGCACTGAAGACACTTAATTTGTCTTTTATTTATTAATATTATTATATTAGTAATTTTATTCTTTACATTTGTGCAGCCTGTTACATCAAATAAATTAGTCCACGTATGGCCCAGCCAAGATCCAAGACGCGTTCCATCCGCATCAGCTAGGGTTTCAGAACCCTAGCGTCGCATGTCATGTCTCGATCGAGGTCCCTCCTTGCATGTCGTTTCTCACGCAACGACCCCCACTCTTCTCGACCTCCAACCGACGTGAAATGTGAGACACCAACTGCTCAACAAAGCCCGGTTCTCTCGGCCATGAGCAACAACCGTGGATATCAAACAATAGGGGTAGTAGAGTTTGATTAGAACTGAAATTGGACTAAAAACAAGCATGCATTTTTTTTGTATAATAGGCTTGTAATCAAACTCATAAAGGGGGATTTTTGGAGAGAAATTACATGCAAAAACACAAGAAACACGAAGGGGAACTCACATTCGACTCTGAAAAAAGGGGATTACTAGAGAAATCCAGTCATTGTAACTCAATCATCAAAGTCAATAAAAGAGTTTCTTTTAGTTAAAAGCTTCCCTTTTGTTTCATGCTTTTTTTACATACATTGTGATTGCTCGAATAAAATCCGATGGAAGCATTAACCACCAACGAGACATGCAAAACAAAATAAGAAGGTAGAGGAGAGACTAGAAAACGACATACCCGGAAATTTTGACAATCCAGCGGCGGAAGGTGGTAAATCGGAGTGGAGAAAGTTAAACAGTTGACGACCTTTTTGTCAAGTTAGAGACTGTTCCTCGCAAAACGGAGGTCGGATCCGTGTTCCGCATCGAGACGAGACCTCCCGTGAAATTTGGGGTCGAACGGTGTCCAGCGACGAGCACCACGGTGGTTCCATTGCCGACCTCTGAACATTGAAGCTAAGACGAGATGACCTCTCTGTTTTTATGTCGTGTAGACTGTAAAGAGGAAGAATGAACCAAATTTAAATTTGGTTTCACAATTATTGGAGAAAGGTTCACGGCATTCACGTGGGAGCCATTGCTTTTGGAATTTTCAAGGGTAAATTATCATCTTGGCCCTTCAAGAGTTACTCCATTGTGACCTCTTATTTATTTATTTATTTTGCATGAAAAAATATTTTAATAATTATGATTTGGCCCACTAATTTTTTATTTTTACTTTTGCAGTTCATTTTTAATATCAATTTAACCCATTAATTTTAATTGTTTCAATTTGATGTTCTAAGTTTTTTACTTTATTTTATTATTTTCTTTAATTTTTTTTTTCTTCTTTCTTCATATTTTTCTTTATTCTATTGCTTTTAAAATTTAACTTTTTTAAACATTTTTAAATTATTATTATTATTTTTCCTTTTCATTTATTATTTATTTTATTTATTTAACATTTATTTATTTATTTATTTATTGTCTAACATTTTTTCCAATCAATCAAAGGTAAGTAATATAAATCGGTTTTTAAATTTTAATTTAAATTTCTAATTCTTCGCAATTAAAGACAACCGATAAATTAATTGGTACCGAAAGGGCGGTTCAAGGGTGCTAATCCTTCCTTGACCGTAACCGACTCCCGAACCCGATACGTTTCTGGTACAACGCAGATCAGGTAAGATGGTGTCCGACCCACCTAAATTCGTTTTAAAGTGGTCGGTGGCGACTCCAATCCATATTTTCAAGTCGAAGTCCAATTCCGAGACTCAACCGAAAGACGGTTGCGACAAATACATTATACATATATGTCAGCTCTAGATAAAGGGAAACAAAAACAATGATAATCAGATATGATACGATACAGACAAAACCAACAACCTTCTACAAGTGAAATAAAACGATAATTTAATGTTTTATCGCAAAAATTAATGTAAATAAAAGAAAGAAGATGGAAGCGAGTGAAAAACCCAGTTACACAACCTTCCAGTTACACAACCTTCAATGGTTGCGAATGAAGGCATTTTTTTAACTACCCAGTTTCTTATTTATCTTGCTTTCACTCTTCTTTCGTTGTTTCACCGTCACTCAACTAATTTCTTTCCTTTTATTGGCCCAGATCTCGGCTACCCATTTCTCATTCTCAGTCCCTAATGGAAGATCTCAGGTTTTCCTTCGCTGAAACTTTTATTTGCAGTGCTTTTGCTGCTTGTTTTGCTGAGGTATTCACGATCTATGGTATAAAATTTACATATGCTCTTTTCTTTTCTGTTTATTTTGTTTTGTCATTCGTGATTATTTTGGGTCTTGGTTGCTATTTTAGTGGGGAAAAGGATGACATTTTTTTTAGTTAAGTTGGTAGTTATATGCATAATTCTTCTTTTTAATGTTTTCATCTGCAGCTCATTGCTTACTATTACGCCTGCCTTTTATAGTTGCTTAATTCGCTTGTTGATGATTCAGTTTCTTTTTTCCTCTAGCTCCTTGTTTCTGGGTATTTTATTGAATGTTAAAATGTTTTGTGCTGTAAAAAAGCATCAATCTTTGTGGGAATTAGGCCATGTGGTACTAGCCCAGCGCGATTTTAGATGCTTGGCCATTTTGTAAGGAATGTATGTTCAATTGCAGCTATTTCAATTATAAATTTCCATAAGTCGAGGATACTCTTGGCAGAATTTTTTTTGTGCTGATATGGAATACTTGTTTTAGATGGTAGTATTAAAACATTGATACGGGATACTTGTTTTCATAAAATTGATGTAACGTGGTATTATAGATACTTCAAGTATTAATTGAACCATTCTTGTTCAATGCTTAAAATTGTTCACTCAACATTCAGAGAGGTGTTTCCCATACTTGCTTTTATTTCCTTTTATGCTTAGCTTTCTTGTTTTACATAACCATTTGTGTTCATGGTTTTGTAGTTCTGACACCATATGATGTGGTTTAAGGGGAAAACAGTATTTAATGAATAGAATTAGGGCTGAACAGATGAGCAAGAAAGAAGTTGGAACTTTAGAAAGCATAGGCTTATAAATTGAAACCCTAAAGATGTCTAAACTTAGTCATCTGTAATATCTTATAGTTAATAAATATTACTGAAGTAAAAGAAAAATATAAATGACTAAAAGGTTCTGCATTACCATTCATGAAACTAAATTTTATTATAATCTTGCTTTTCTGTTTCTGATTCAAAGTTTTGCCTCTTTTAAACCAGCTTTTTCTGAATGGTACTATTTTATGAAACTGTTCTGATTGGTTACCCTTAGAGAAAAGATGAGAACCACTGGATATTACTGAGCCATTGTGCCATTACGTGAAAAAGTGCACCGGTGTTCTTGGTTGATGCTGTTAAAGAAGATGATGTGCCATGGTCACGTATAACACGGTTTAAATTGCGTCTCTTTTTCCATGTTGATACTTCAGGTTTAGTCTATTTTGTCTTCTAAGCATCACAGGAACACACAAGGCTTTGCTTATAGAAGATTTTGGAGCTCGATATCACATAAACGAATGTAATGAAACTTATGTGGGATGTATGGATCTGCTTGTTATGTTCCAGGTAAAATCGAGAATGATGGGGGATGGTGCCTACAAAAACACCCTTGATTGTTTCATTAGAACTTCGAAGAATGAGTTATGTTGATTTTCTGGTTGTTTTATCTAGATTCCTTCATCTCTCTTTTTCCTCTTGCTCGATTTTCTTGATAGTTAAAAGTATTGTGAGTGCCAAAATTTGTGTCTGAACTATAACTGTTTGCATGTTTCTGGGCTGAAACATTTTACCTTTAGCATTATTACTATCCCTCTGTTTAGTTAACTTCAAGCTTTGTAAAATATCTGGATTTTTCGGTTCATTACATGTTTATCGCTAACCTTTTCTCAAAGAGTCATCTTGTGACAATTTGATAGAAACAAACTTTTTCCTAGAAAAGCTTTATTATATCGAGTAGTAACTTTGGTAATTGATGCATCACAGGGATTCCTTGCCTTTTACAAGGGTTTTGTTCCTAATTTTAGCCGGCTAGCATCTTGGAATGTGGTTATGTTTTTGACTCTTGAGCAAGTAAGATATGCGTTCTAGATTCAATCTTTAGTCCCCTTTTTTGTCCTTAAAATAAATGTATCCATGCGCATAGTTATCTCCTTTGTCCATTTTACAACTGGATTTTCAGTGTCATCTCCATTCTGCACATCTATACATACTATAAAAGTAGTCTCCAATTGAATGATATTGTTGAACTTAAGATTGACGTTTCTTTGATGAGGATACATGGATAATGCCATGAAAAATAATTAGAAATAAAGCCCCCCCCCCCCAAACACACAAAAAAGAAGGCACTTCTAAAGGAGTTTGGAGGATATGTAATATTATGTTACCTTCAAGAAAATTTATATTTATAACTTTACTTTGATTTCCCGAAACTTAGCGAGGGTATATTCTAGTTTAGTTTAAAAACACTAACATCTAGATTTGGAAATGTTCCATTTATATTGGCTCAGTCTTAGTTGTGTGGTGTTATGTCTGGCACCTTGGTGATTTTGTTTTTTCAAAAAAGAAAAAAGGCAAGAACTTCATTGATCAAGAATTCAAGATGATTTTTTCCAAAATTTCATCTATAAGCAATATAGACTTCATTTATACTAGGTACTCGGACTGAAGTACGAGTGTTTGATACCAAAGGCCGATAAATTTATTTATTTTTATTTATTGATTTTCATGATATTAGAGCATATTTCCAACCCCAGGTCCATGTATGCATTGCGTTTTGATGTTGGCCACGGATTTTTAAAGAAAAAGTACTAATCATAGCAGCATAATATACCTTAAGAAAGAACTTAAACTGACGAATATGTTAAGCATCTTCATTACATTGATGACAGGCCAAGAAAGCTTTCTGGGGGGAAATATATTACGATTGATTTTAGTTTGTAACCAGGAAGACACACTGCCTGCTTATTGTCCCTTGAATTCTCAAGGAGTAATTTTTTTTAACAAAGAACAAGGTATGCATTGCATTGCCCTCTTCATTTTCCTTAGATAAAAGTAGTGTTATTGTAATTTGTAACTATTTATGTTATCCAGACTTGGGGGAATTCTTTCAAATTTTCCCCCTTTTTGTATATTTGGAGGATCATACTCTTATATCAATGTCCGAACAAATTTCGAACACAAAAAGTTAACAAAATGAAGTGTTCGGGCAACATAGCCAACTATTAGTGTACTGAAATTTGGCAAATATTTGCCGCATTGTATTTGGAATCATGCACTATCTTAACAGTTGAATGGACTTACTTGCTTTGCAATGCAATGCCTGTTTCTCTTTGCTGAAACAGTATGAATTCACTTTGGCAGGTAGCTTTGGATGCCAACAGTAAAGGGTTTATCAATTGTTATTTGGCAATTCGTACTATATTGGTATTATTTTGTGCTATGTATTTATATATGATGTACAGTGCCGTGTTAAAATTGCGAGATACATTTAGTCCAACATTTACGTTTTACACTAATTTTTACCATTTCAAACTACTATTGTCCTACAACAATCCATTGTTTCATTTCTTTTATTCGTAATAAAGTGATGAAACTCTTGAGTATTTTAATTATAGAGAAATATTATAATTATACATGAATTTTGGTCTGTGCAGTATGATATATAAATTTTGTTTGGTAGAATTTTACATATATAAGTTTAATTATGATTAAATTGTATAATATAAATTTTGATTTTAATTTAATTCTACACATTTTATAAAAATTGAAATAGTCGCTTAACTTTTATGGTTCTTGCATTTTGGTCATTAAATTTTGGGTAAATTATACGAATGACCACTTAACTATTTAGTTATTTTACTTTTACCGTTGATCATTCAATTTTATCAAGCAGACCCCTTAATTATTTAATTTTATTAAATCAAGCTATTTCCATTAATATTTGACATAAGTGGTGACATGACTGTAAATAAAATTGGTATAATTATATATTTAGTCATTAATATTTATATATTAGATCAATTTAATTCTAATTTTAAATTAATTTAATAAATTTAATCACCCAATTAGATGATGGCCCTTTTCACCACTTAATTAGGTTTTATTTTAATTTATTTTATTTAATGTTTAAACTTCAATCCGAGGGTGACAAATGTCCCATTTAATCGGTGTCAAAATAAGTTGAATATTTTTATTGTTGTTGCTAGGAATCAAATCCATACCTAAAGGAGGGGGTTTCAAGTAGCTTTCCCATCACGCCAAAACCCAAAATTGATAAGGCTTTACAACATATTTTAATAAAGTTTATGACAGAAAAATAAAATAAAATTTTATAAAATGCAAAATATATTATATTTTATCTTAATTTAAAATATTATATGAAAAAAAATATAATATTTAAGTTAAAGAAAGAATAAAATATATATTTTTGGATACATTTAGATTAGGATAAAAATATAATATTTTTAAAAAATTAAGATAAGAATAATAAGATAAAAATAAAATATATTTAATAATCTAAGATAAAAATAAAATATATTTTTAAATTTGAGCTCCATTAAGATAAAAAATATTTATAAAAGTTAAGATAAAAATAAATATATTGTTTAAGTTAAGATAATATAAAATTGTTTTTACATTAAAATAAGAATAATATATATTTTTAAGTTAAAGATAAAAATAAAATATATTTTTAAGTGAAGATGAAAATAAAATATATTTTTAAATAAAAAATATATTTTTTAAGTTAATATGTAAATTTAATTTAATATTTGAATTTAAATTAAAAATATATATAAATAATTTACAAATTTAAAGTACAATTCATATACCCTAAGTTGGAAACTATACAACAAGTTACCAATCTGGTTCAATGGTTTAGTAATTGTTTCCTCGACTATGTGCCCTAGCTTTGAACCCTCTCTTTCCCCATTTATTTTATTTTTCTGTCATAAACTTTATTAAAATATATTTAAAGTCTAATTAATTGTCGGTTTTGATGTGACAATAATATTGTGTGAAACCCTCCTTTAGGCTCGGGTTTGATTCCTACAGAAGCATTAAAACTATTCAACTCATTTTGACACTAATTAAAGGCACATACGTCACCCTTTAATTGGATTTTAAAATTAAAATAAAACCTAATTAAGTGGTGACAAGTATGATCATCTGATTAGGAAATTTGTTGAATTAATTTAAATTAGGGTTGAATTAATAGAATATATAAATATTGAAGACTAAATGTATAATTATGTCAATTTTATTAACAATCATATCACCACTTCTGTCAAATATTAACGACAAATAAATTGATTGGATACAATTAAATAATTAAGTGGTTTGATTGACAAAATGAAAAGATCGATAATAAAAGTAAAATTGTTAAATAATTAAGTGCTCATTAGTGTAGTTTACCTTCAAATTCTTAGAACTTGTAATACAATCATTAAACTTTTAATTAACTTTTATTTAACTTTTATTAGGTCATTGTTCTTAAGAAAAGTTGATTTTATACATTAAAGTTTTCTTCTCTATCGGAAAATCGTAAGCTCTTCCTCCAAACCAATTGTTTCCTTCTTTCATCGGTTTATTCGGTCCAAAGGATCACCAAACCACTTCTTTTCTATTTCTTTCATTTTGATTAGAATTTAGTTTAAGAAGCTGAGGAAAATGCTCTCGATGTTGTTGTTGAAGAAGGTTCTTTCATGTTCTTTTTACAATGTTTCTAAACGATGTGGGATTCTTAGAGGAAAGTGGTAATGAAGAGAAGATTCATAAGGGGATGAAAGCTATTTGGGTGGATGAAGTGTTGGTACTGTCATCGTAGCCCATGATGTAGCGAAAACAAAAAGCGACAGTCTCACCAACGATCCAAGTGCGTAAAATCCTAAATCGGGAGGAAGGGATGCGATTACTTTCATTGGGTTCCTTGTAAATCAGCAATGACAACAGCGGCTATTGATGATCACGAACGGTTCGAATCCTAACTTTCACGAAAAACGTCTCGGCCTCTACTCAGTTCACCCGATTGAGAGCAAAATTTAACTTTTCCCAAAAAACGATTTTGATAAAACAACTAAAGATTAAGTGCGGCTGCTAGACCTCACTTATCTTTAAATATTAGAGTTACACTAACATATTAGGGTTTTGTTATTTCGAATTAATTAAATTCTTATTTAATGAATTCAAATTAAATATTCATTAAAGACTTATAATCCAAATTACACTCTTTAACATTTATTTAAATTGTTATTTAATTATTCCGAGTTAAATATCCATTAAAAGAGTCATAATCAGAATTACATTCTTATAATGTTTACTTACTATATTTAGGATAATTAAATCACATGTATACCATATATATAAACTCTAGATATATATTTTAGTAACATACAACAAATTGTACATCTTAGCTCATTTCAGCCCTAGGGTGTAACCCTGTAGGTTCTTGCAACGTTCTTAGTAATTATTAGAATAATTCTAATATTACAAACAATGAGTGACATCTAGCAATATATAATTGTCACCTAAGTTACAAGAAATTATGATTCGGTGTATCATCTTCGTGATTAACTCTTGTATGTATTATATCCTTTTGTCATTTATATCTAGAATAGGCACAAGTCTTGGAATAGGCACACTTGTATTGTCCATCTATTGTATCTTGATATCTAGAGTAGACTATAATTTACGAATAATTTGTGATATCTCATATCAACTTATTCGAGCATGGCCATGCATTTCTAGTCTCACTCAATTAAATGACCTCTGATATATTTCTTATTATGTAGGAAGGACAAATCCTATCTTAATCATACACACCCAACTATATATATATCGAGATATATTCAATAACAGTCTTTATAGTGCAACCATTTACGAAGCATGTTTAACTGTATAAAAAATACAACAATATATGTTGAGATAGTAATGATCTCAAGTTCGAGGATCATACATATAGTCATTACCATGAGCAATGTTGTGACCTTCACATAATAATCTAAGACATACTCATAGTGGGTCAATCCAATATATTGTTCTCTAACAATATAATCATGTATCAATTTGACATATCTATGTCAATGAAAACTCATTGTCATCAATCAATAACATGTTAGTCTTAAGTGTATTATTATTGTCCATGCCAATAATAATACTTAACTAAGAATCTTTTAATAATAATAATCACATAATTATATGGACTTTACTATCTTTCAGTTTATGTTAAACACATATATATAACTGAAAATAATAGTGACAATATTTTTATTCAATAAAATCAGTAAATAAAATGTATCATTACAATCATCATATGATTGGTCTTTGGGCATACTCTAGCATAAAGAGGACCGTGATAAACAATGCTAAGTTAATGGGCTGCGGAAGTTTAGCAAGGAAGACAAGTAGAGTGTGATTTCTGGTTTCGAGTATGTTTCAAGACTGAGTTGATTCGAGGATGAGGAATGATCATAGTTATGACGGCGAATCATCTGATGAACAAAAGTGTGAAGTTGCATCTCCTTGTTATGGAAATGATGAAGTTTTTGATGATATTCTTGACCAAGTTAATGTGTAAGAATGCTCCTTTAAACTGAACTGATGCCTTTCACAATAGTCTTGTTTTTGTGTTGATACAAGATAGTCAATTGATGGCTTTGATAACAAGACGATTAAAATCATATAAGTTCATAATTATTCTATTCATGATTTGGAAATAGTCGACATCGTCTTTACAATAAAATCCTGGAGAGATTATCTATTCAGTGAGAAATGTTATATTTACGTGTATTATAAAAGTCTCGAGTATTTTCTCTTTAAAAATTGAACTTGAGATGACGAAAATGGATTGATTTATTGAAATACTACGATTGTGTTCATCTAGAAAAATTTAATGTAATAACAGATGCACTAAACAGGATATCAACGTCTGATTTATGAGAAATATTTGTTAGGCTAGACTTGGTTGAAGATGGTAATGTATTGAAAGGTTATAAGTGAGACTTAATTTGAACAATGATGTAATGCCTTAATCTAGTACTACCCGAAGACCAGTGGATTAAAATGTCAAACGGGACCACCGGAGTGGCTTAATCTAAAATTTTCTTCAAAAAATGACTGTAA